TGGAGCTCTCTGCCAGAGAGGGCCCCGATGCTGTTGCTGCTGCTGCTGCTGCTGCTGCTGTTGCTGCTGTTGGCGAGGAGGAGGCGTCACTGTTGCTGCTGCGCGCCTGCACGGTGGGACCGAGCAGCAGCAGCAGACACACAGCAGCAGCAGCAGCAGCAGCAGCAGCAGCGCACACTCGCCCCTTCTTGCAGGGCCCAGGGGCCCCTACAGACCCCAAACATCCCATAGTGAGGCACCCTGCTGTACGTATCAGGCCTGAAGGTATCTCTGTCTACAGCAGCAGCAGCAGCAGCAGCAGCAGCAACTACAGCAGGAGCCGCAGTAGGAGCTGCTGCTGAGCTGCTGCTGCGAAGACGCGAGCAGCAAGTTCTTGCTGCTGCTGCTGCTGCTGCTGCAGCATGCAGTGCAGCTGGGTGTCTCCTGCTGTCTCCTGCTGCTTCTCCATGGGCCCTCAACCCCGGGGGGTTGTTAGGGCCCGCAGATACGAGGAGACAAACGACAGGCAAACCAAGACAAAGACAAAGACAAATATAATTTAAAATTAAAATATTAAAAACACAAACTTCATACACACACAGGCTAGCGTGGCTGCTGCTGCTGCTGCTGCAGCGCCAGAGACGCTCACCAGCGCCCGAGGGACACCGCCCTCAGCAGCAGCAGCAGCAGCAGCAGCAGAAGCAGCTGGAGCAGCAGCAGCAGCAGCAGCAATGCTTGAAAAGAGACTTATACTGCCGCTTAATATTTTATTTTGTTGGGTGTGTGCTGTACTAAGCAGGCCGCAGCAGCATGGGCCCCTCTTGGGGTGTATAGGCAGCTCGCTCGAGCGTGTGCTGCACGAGCGGCAGCCAGAACCCCCAAACCACTGATTTTTAGCGCATAAATTAACAAATAAAATAAATAAAATAAATAAAATAAACTAAAATTTATTATTTTAATTTATTTCATTTAATTTACACTCAGAAAGAGCACGAGTAGGGTATCGCCGCCGCCGCCTGCACACACAGGCGGGGTCTCGGGTGTATCGACACCTCAGCTGTCTTCTTAAGCGATCACTCCTACTATTTGTTTTTATTTTATTTTATTTTATTTTATTTTATTTTATTTTATTTTATTTTATTTTATTTTATTTTATTTTATTTTGTTGTTGATTTGATTTAATTTCCTCCTGTTTGCTCATTTTGTTTATTTATTTCATTTTATTTGTTTTATTTATTTTATTTTGTTTATCTTATTTATTTATTTACTTTATTTTATTTTATTTTATTTTATTTTATTTTATTTTATTTTATTTTATTTTATTTTATTTATT